ATCAGTTGACTCTACTTGATTTATTGGAGGTATACTTTAGGGTGTATTAGGGATTAATAATCTTGTTGGGCTTCAGTGCTCAGAATGCTTTGTCTCAGTTGCTTTTAGAGATTTATTTTTAATTAAATATATATTATATTTTATAATAAGCAATGCATTCACATTATTCAAACTTGAAAAGTTAAAAAAAAAAGTTTCTCTTGAACTCAGTCCCTTAGTAACCCAGTTCCCCCAACTCCAGAGCCAACAGATACTAGTTGCTTCTTGGCTGCCCTTCAGTTGGTATTCTCTGGATATGCATGCAATCATATACTTTTTTTTAAAACACTTTTTCTATTCTGCACTATGCTTTTAGCTTCATTAATTTTAGACTGTCCCGTGTCACCGCCTATTAGAGCTACTTCTTGCTGCTTTTCTCTTATGGCTGCCTTACATCTTATGTGATAATGACAACGATGAATAGTATAACCATTATACTGTTGGTGGACTTTTAGGTTATTTTTAGTCCCATTTCAGAAGGGCTATGTTGAATATCCCCAGTTGCTTTTGAACAACGAAATATCCTTTTCCATTGCTGGTTTTTTAGGATAGATCTTTTGTTTCATTTCAGCCATGAACCAGAGAATCAGTCAGAGTGCTCCAGTGAAACAGCCACCGCCCCTGGCCCCCCAGAGCCCCCAAGGGGGAGTCATGGGTGGTGGCAGCTCCAACCAGCAGCAGCAGATGCGGCTGCAACAGCTGCAGATGGAGAAGGAGAGGCTGCGGCTCAAGCAGCAAGAACTGCTCCGGCAGGTGAGGCCGCAGGTCAGAGACCAGCCTTCCACTTTGGGGTTTTGCTTTCCTACGTGACGTTGGGTGTGTTTCCTTTTGGCATTTATTAGTTACAGAAGAATGTCGTTTTTCTAAAACTGGAGTGACAGAGAAGCATCTTGTCCAGCTCGGTCCTTGTCTCAGTTTCTTGACTGGCCTTTGATCACATGGGCTATAATTTGTAAACCTGTATCACAAAGAGGTGTTACGCGGTCAGGCCGAAGTTGAAGGAAGCGAGGGTGCCTTTCCTCACGTACACAGGCGCACCTCGGAGATAATGCAGGTTGGCTCCAGACCCCTGCAATAAAGCAAATCACACAAGTTTTTTGGTATCCCAGTGCATATAAAAGCTAGTGCTTACACTGTACTGTAGTCTATTAAGTGTGCTGCAGCATTATGTCTTAAAAAAAAAACAATGTACATACCTTAATTTAAAAATATTTGGTTGCTAAAAAATGCTAACCATCATCTGAGGCTTCAGTGAGTCATAATCTTTTTGCAGTAGTAACATCAAGGATCACTTATCACAGATGACCATGACACATACAATAATAGTGAAAAAGGTTGAAATATTGTGAGGGTTACCAGAACATGATGCAGAGACAGGAAGCAAGTAAATGCTATTGGAAAACTAGCATGGAAAGACTTGCTTGACGCATGGCTGCCACAGACCTTCCATTTGTTTTAAAAAAAAGTAATGTCTGCGAAATGCAGTAAAACGAGTTATGCATGTACACGAAATTGGAGATTACTGTATGTCGGAGGGTTTCACTAAGGGGAGAACTCTGGGACATCACTTGGAGAAAAACATCTTTTACTTTAAATGAATTATTATCTAGAGGAATACACCAGTATGGTGGTTCTCAAATGACAAATACGCTTCAACACTGCTGAGTCTAAGATGTTTTATTTAGAACATAATACAGACTGTCCCGAGTTTAGAAGATCCCAAAGTGCCTTAAAAGTTACGCTTATGGATGTTTTTTCATGTTGGGCAGGGCAAGACCTAACACTGGGGAGCTGGAAACCCTTTGTGACCATTTCTGTCAGTTTTCTTTCAGAAATACTGTTGGTCTTTATGTTCCATGAGAATATATAATCCCTCATCTCAAAATGAATGTTTACTCTATCTTATTTCAGAGTGGTAAAGTCGAGATACTGGGGGCGTGGTTTTTATCAATGCAGTGTATTTTAAATTTTTCATATAAATATTTTGGACAATAAAATCATGATGTGACTTTGAAAGTGTACAAAAGGTGAAAGGATAGTAAAAATAAAATCTCCTTTTCGATTTCTCTGGTTCTCTTTTCTGGATGTAAATAACTACCAGTTTCTTGTATTTTTTTTTTTCCAGAGACATTCTCTCTGTTTACCAACATGAAATACATGTGTCTATACTGTTTTCCCCCACCTAAATCATAGCATATTAAGTGTAAGCATTAAAAATATCATTCTAGGGGAGGGAATAACTCAGTAGTAGAGTGCATTGTTAGCATGCATGTACCTCCATTAAAAATAAATAAACCTAATTACCACCCCCCATTTAAAAAAACATAAAAAACAAAAAAACTAAAATAAACTAGTCTACATTTCTGTTGCTAGGATGTAGGCATTTAAACAGGTACTTTTTTTTTTTATGAGGGCTGTATTGTAATAGTGTCACTTGAGTGTTAATGGAAAATATATGAACTTGTTACAGTCATTGAACTCTGATTTGGGATTTGAAGAACTGGTTCCTAAGTCATGGAATCCCAAAAAGACACACCTCTAAACTGCTCCCAGCCGTCTGCCAGTGTGACTCTGGTGCGGCTGGCCCCGAAGGCAGTGAGAGCCTTGATGCTGGCATTTAATACCAAGAAGTGGTCTTGAAAGAAATACTCCTTCATCTGCTATTAAGAAGGCAGAGAAAAGAAGCACATTAATACAGTTTACAATATCTCTGATGTTTCAACAAATTACTACAAAGGAAAGGTATTTTTCATTTAAATAAAACTTTATCATCAAAACAAGGTAGTACCATCAAGAATAATAATACAGCTATTAGAAGAAGTAAAGCAATTTAAGAATATGTTTTACAAAGCCTGTATTCACTGCTTGCTTTTCATTTTGTTGTTACTGAGTGCTGGATGGTGTAAGTAAATGTAACTTCACATATGAATTAAAGACTATCAGAACCAGGAAACCTTAGTTAAGACAAATTAGCAGTCTAGGAATGGGCCACCCATGATTTTGCTGTTGCCCCAGATCAGTTTTGTCCACACCACCCCCATCCCGGGGCAAAATGCTGCTACTTGCAAAACTCTTCATTCCAAAGAATTTTTCTAAATCTTATTCTCACTCTTACTCTGGGTGATGGATCCTGGACAGTAAACTTCCTTTTAAAGGTAACTTCTTTGTTTCTTCTTCACCACTTACTGTGTTGTCTTTTCTTTTATTGAAGTGACAGACCTGCTCTATTCTTATACTAATGGTCTATTTTTAAGGGGTTTTTTTTTCCAGTTTTTAAGCAATCAGCATAAATTCAGTATATCTTAAGTCTTTTGGCTTCCTGTGAACTTCTTCCATTGACAGTTTCTTTTATCACTGAAAACATCAAATTGTGTTTTCCGGCTTCATCTAATGCTCAGAAGTAAAGAACCTACCTGACCAATATCAAATTTTATTTGAATCCTGACACCTGCAGTCTTTCTGTCCTGTCCTCAGTGCCGTTCAGCCCTTCTGAGGTTTCTGTTTGTTACGTGGTGACTCCGTTGGCTCCTGTCTTCCTCAGCCTGCTGCTTCTGGGGCTAGCTTGGGAACTCTGTGCTATGGTGGTATGTCTGGATACAATTTGTAAGTCAGCCTACGCAGCCAGACTATGTGGCTTACAGTAATTTTTATCCATCTTATTTTTCACTCTTAGGCAATGCGGAATATCAATCCCAGCACAGCAAATTCTCCAAAATGTCAGGTAGGCTCTTGTCTGATGTTTTAGCATTGAAAACAGATATTACATTAGGAAAGAGAAAAACCTGTGCTCCAGGGGCCTGTCCTCACTGAAGATGAGCCCGGAGTAACTCTGAGCGGTCTTTCAGCTGAGATCCTGAAGTTAACATTGCTGTTCCCAGGAAGTTTACGCTGTCTGCTCCCTCCCGGCTCCTCCCAGACAGCTTCTTGTACTCATTTGGTTCCGTGGAGGTCTTTTTTTATTCCACATTTGTTATGTATTATGTACATCCTATCAGCCTTGAAGTGTGCCTGATTTTTATTTGCATAGCCTGAAGTAGCACTTCCAGTGTTTCACAGGAACTGACCGTCTGAACAGCACCCGGTCGCACAGGTCACTCATGCAGGCAGATGGCTTCAGGAGATCTTACTTAGAGTTACAGTGACTCCACTAGGGAAGGGAAAGCTCTTTCTAGTAGACATTCTAAAGGAAGAGTATCAAAACTGTAGAAGAGACAAGGGTCTCCCCGAGTACTCTTCGGGTTTTATCTGCTGGCTTTCACCAGCGTTTCTCCCTGGTGAACCCCAGGGAGCACTGACTGTGAAGGTGTCTTGTTTGGGTGGAAAGACTGTGGCCGTGTTTTCCGTCTGTAACACAGGCACTTGTCTGACTTGCGGAAAGAATCTCATTCTCGAAGCCAAAGAGATGCTCTGTGTTCAGGGCTCCCAGATTGGAGGGCATTAGGAGCTGGCGGGTTAGTGCACTTTTCTCAATGGGCAGAAGCAACCGTGAAGCACCTCATGTTCTGTGTCGCTCTTCTTCACTAGACTAACAAGCGCTTTGTGTTAGGGTCGGCCGTGGAAGTGGGAGCTGGCAGAATTCCACTCATTTTGGATACTGTCAGCTTGTCCATTGGAGCAGCATGCTGATAAAGGCAGATAGAATCCTTATAGAGACCAGAACCTTTGTGAGAGGAAAACTATTCTTTATCTTTCTCATAAATGCCGCCTTTAACCAAGGGATCAAGTAAAGGAATAACTCCCGAAGGTCATCTTTGCTAAAGCAGCGCACGGACACTCGTACAGCAAGGGCCCCTAGTACCGCATTTGACTGGGAAGAGCACCAGAGCCATGGATCTTTATAGAGCGAAGGCATTTTTCCCTTGCTTCTTCTCTGAAAGTATTTCTGAAAGAAGTTTCTTTTATTTGTGATAATGAAGTGGAAGGTAATATAAGAGCACAAATTAACTCAAATGAGATTTGGGATCAAGCAAGAAGTTCTCCATGCTGGAAGTGTTTTGAAATTGTTTCCTTCCCCACCCCAGCTACTGAGATCTTAACCCCTAAATCTGATCAATTAAATACCTCTAAGTCTTTATTTCATACATCAGTGTCAGTGTACGTAGTTGCTCTCCTTAAAAGCACTAGGAATTTTTAGATACCTTTTTTAGAAGTAAAGCTTTAGAAAAGGTAAGGCTAATAAATTAAAATTCTATTAAATGTATGTGGTAATAACATTACAGAGTTAATTCCTAAGCCAGAACAGGAAACCTAAAAGAGGTGGGTGTTTTATTAAAATCTTCTTTGCATGTGTGGAAAATGCTGCCTTGTGTAAGCCTTCGTCGTCATTGTGTTTACCTGGCACAGTTGTGGGAATGCGTGAGATTCCAGTGCAGGGTTGGATTTGGAGTTGCTCAAATACATGGGGTCTGGTGGTGTCTGTGTCAAGCACTCATTTGTGTTCTTCTCGTCCTGCGTATTTTTTAGATGATCTTAAGGTAGGTGTCAGGGAAGATCCCACAAAGAAAGGCCATATCTTAAGTGAAGATGGCTTTAAATACGGTTATCAGGATAATCAAGAAAGCCAGGAAGAGCCTTTCAGTATCAAAGAACAAACTAAATAAAAAAATAAAGAACGAGGACTAGATTCATTCAATATTTGAATCCCAGGCACTCCTTTTTTTTTAACTTTTCTAATAGAATTTGGTACAGATGCGTTAACAGGCAGTGTGAAATTAATGCTGTTATTTTATGATTATATGCCTCAGAGCTGAGGGCTATGGGAAAGTACCAAACTTCAAAATATTTACAAACTACTTATTTCAAAAGCTGTCTTTAAGTACTCCTGAACAAGATTAACAAAACATGTCTATATTGTAGGGTTCTCTAGTCAGGTAAACTAGTGTCAGTATGAGTAAGGTTAATGTAAAATTCTGAAAAATTAAGACAACTTTAATGGCATTAGTATAACTTCTTAAAGACGGGAACTATTACCTTAATTTGTCAGGGTTTGTTTGCAGAACTTTTGGAAAAAACGTGTCCTCATAGAGCTTTAAATTGTTTAATTTCATTTTGATTATTCACTATTTTTGTTCCTAAAGCAATTTCTATTCTCAGGGGGAAAAAAAACACTTTAGAAGCTGTGAACATCATCTTTGCTCCGTGAGATTGAGCATGTATATGGCGCTCTGTTTTCTAGGTGTCTCGCTTCGTAATGCAGCAGTTGCTCCTTTGTGAACTGGAGGGAGACCTTTGAGAGAGTAGGGCAGGAGTGCATCCCAGCTTCTGTTTCAAGGTCTTTTGATACTGACAGTTTGAGGAAGGATAGCCCCTCCCGCCCCCGAGTATGAATGTTTTTATCTTCTCTTATGCTTAAGAATGTGGTTCTTAATTCCTGTGGTTCCCTAATACCTATGAGATCAAGCCTAAACTCTGCAGCCTGGCTCATTCATGGTCCGCGGTCCGTAGCCTTCTTTCTCCCTCTGAATTCTGGTTAAGCCAGTTACCTTCCTTCCGCAGAGTGCACACTCCCCTGCCTGGGTGCCGTGACTCCACTTGCAAGCTCTCCCCATAACGAGAGCCTGGCTTTCCCCCTTCCGTCTTACTGACTCCTTCACAAGGCCTTGGTCAAAACTGGTCCCCAAGTGCCTTCATCAGAATTCTTGAAACCGCCCAGAAAATAGAAACAAGACTGCTGTACACAGATACATTATTTCTGAGCAAGTAATTTTTAAATATTCACAGAAATTATAGCTATAAATATGTTCCAACTAGTGAGCATTGCGTACTTGCTGTTCCTTACGGATAGTAAGGAATGTACATCAGGGTCGGTTACTGGTTTAATGAGTGAAAAACCCACAGCGTTGTGTTGAGGGTATTCTGTACCACACCGTTAGCCCACGACGGTGACTTTACATTCGGACGTCGTAGTTCTAGTCAAATAGAGCAAAATAATTCCACTTTTCAGAGCCATGTGAAAATAACACCGTAATTTTTTTCCTGAATTTACTTAATAAGAGCAAAATTTTTACTTTTTTTTCCATCTGAACTGTCTCTTAGGTTAGCAGTTTCAGAATCCAGTTAACACTTTCTCCAAGACTGATTATCTCTTCTTTTTGAAGTCCTAATATTGAATATATCGTACATTCATTTAGGTGTTCTTCATGAACATTTTAGGTTTTATTTTTAATGGGCATATTGAAAACTTAATATAAGAGAACAGGAGAGAGATCCCCACACCCTGAGTGCTCCTAACAGGTTATCTTGTTTTAATCATTAAGGTTGTGATAATTTGAACAATGCTGTAATAACTTTATTACTTAAATTGAGACCATAATTAAATAACACAAATTACAAAAGGCCTTATTCCAGAGATCTGTCAGAAAGTGTTAAATCGCAGGACGATACTCGGAACACCAAACTACACATCTGTTTTGCAGATCTCGTCTCAGATTTAGGGTTGTCATGTAGTTCTCATAACCATCCCCAAATCCATGGATACACATTTCTTTAGTCAAAACGATTATTCTGAAGTTGAAGATACTTTGGTAAATGGTACAGATATTAAAAAACAAAAAACATTCTAAGCACTGGCTACATGTTTTAATAACTTCCGAAATAATGAAATATTCTGTGACTGAAGCTGTGTTGGAAAATAGGGTATGGTAAGGCCTGTCTTCAACAGTTGGAAGAAATGACTCTTTTTTTCTTATGTTTTTAGAGTTGATGTAAACTGCTATTGCTAAGACAAATTGTTCATAAGATGTATATTTTTATAGAGTTATTCTCCGTTTCTAAATTTGAATTTCTAGCTCACTAAACTAACCCACCTTAAACAAATTGATTGGGTTGGGGAGAGGGGTACCTTCACTTGTGTGCCATGTGTTATCCAAAAATGATACATACGTTCTTACATAGCTTCGTATTTGCTAAAGATAAAATTGCTTTAAGAAAGTAATTAAAGTTGACATTATATTTTATAGAATTTTCTACAAATGGAATCATAACCTAGCATGATTATCTTGAGATTCATTCATGTTGTATCTATGTAGTTCATTCCTTTTCACTGCGAACTAGTGTTCCGTTGTAGATGTACTACGTTGTTTATCAGTTCATTTATTGATAAACATTCAACTTGTTTCTAAATTTTAAATTTGTGTAAACATATGCTTTCATTTCTCCTACATACTCTAAGAATTTAATAGCCTAAAATTTTCTAAATGTTTCCAGACTGCTAACTCCTACTGCCTTTCTCCTTATTTTTCTGAATGTTGTGAACCAAAGCTTCAATTTTATATGGGGCCAAAATACTTTAACTACCAGATATATATTATCTTAAAGTGTCTTTTTTTTCACCTTATGGGAAATTATACTGCTAGTTAAATGAGAGGAAGGAAATATAAAAAGGGCCAGTGGCTTATGGCTGGATCCTGTGCCCATAAAAGTCCACTATATGAACCAGGCAAATCATGTTTTCCTTTACAAAACATCCCGAAGAAAAGTTCCCTCCAGGCCAAGCTGGGACCATCGGTTGTACTTACAGTGCCGATAGCTCTGACTCCACATTCGTCCCAGATTAGCTAAGATTTATAAGCTCAATGGGAAAAGCCACCACATTTTTGTATTATTACAGAAGAAAATGAGCTAAAAATACTTGCTTCCTTTAGAAAAAGTCAAATGCTCTAAAAGAAATATTTGACCTTTGAAATACAGAAGCATGATTAAATTTTGGCTGAATTTCCTATAACTTGCTTACTTATCCATTTTTGAAAGTCTGTCAAACTATTTATTCTGACTACCTTTGGGAAAAGAGAAGCTTAACAAACTTTTATTTTTAGCTCAGTATTCTAATTTTAGATATTTGTCAGGGTGAAAAACTCCTTAGAGATAGACATAACTTTCAACATGAACTGTTTCAACTGAAATCAGTTTTTGTAGACAATCCAATTAGGTCCCAAGGCTGATTTTTAAAACAGCTATGCCAGATATACTCACTTGCAAAATAATGTTCATATTCACCAAAAAATGTGTTTTGATAAAATTATTGCAGTAGAATAGGTTTATTTGTATAGGTACATACAGACAGGCATTATTTTAAAACACATAATAGAGAAAGTTTATATGAAATACATTCAGTTTATGTAACTTCATTTCACACTTATCCATATGAAAATAATTATTTTCCTCTAAGTCACTAGCAAAACGGCTGTACAACTCTGAACCAAACATTCAACATTTTACTTCTAAAATTGTTAATTTTATGCAGTGTATTCTCTTTCACATTTACAGTACTTGGCTAAGGATACAGGGAATTATAAAGTTTACTCACGATGAAAACTCACAGTTAAACTGTTCCTTGCTGGCAGTAGGACAGCTGGGGGAGGAGCTGTCTCAGTTAGCTCCGACTCTGTGTTCACGCACCTTCAGAATCTGACCAGCTGAAGCACGGAGCGGGGCTCTTGCACAGATTTCCACGTCACCCCTGTGATCTCTGTGTGAATGTGTATGCACACACGCGCGTGTGTGTTGATGCTGAAGTGGAAGTACTGTTTTCACATTCACCTGATCTCCAAAGTCATACGTTAAGAAGGCGGGGGGAGTTGGGTGGGCCTGTTCTTCTCCATAAATTCATACAGTTTTCCTCCGCAGTTGTTAACAGTTTCTTTAAGGTATCGACAAAAACGTTTTTATCTTCCCTATTGAACCTAGGGAAATAAATTACTTTCACAGCAGATGAAAATATTAACAAAAGAATAAATGACTTGGGGAAGGGCCACCAAGTCAACGTTAGTTACTTAAAGCACTTTTGTCTTCAGCAAATACTGAGCTATGTAAGGATGTAGCCATTTGCTATTGTATATGTGTAAGTTATTATATATCAATTATGCCTCAGTACAACTTCAAAAATTACTTAAGACATCTAATCAACCTTAGGTTGGTTTTTGGTTTGTTTGCTTCTTTGTTTTTCCTGTAACTAGAAGTTTCAAGACTGAGCTGAATATTCATACGTGGTGTATGGTTTCTATAATCTACGTATATGTTAATTTATATCATTGGCCTTATCACATTATATTTGTTTTCGTGACGAATTCTTCACTATTTAGTTCATAATACTAATAACACTGTCCTACCACCACGACCAGTACATAAAGTGGCATTTTTTCCTCTTGATCCTTTCAAGTTCAGTTCAGGTGAACCTCTAGGTTAGTTACCAGCTCAAATGTAGATTTGGTGAGAAGTGTGTTTCCATGGTCCTTCAGGGGCTGGGATGCATTCTTAGGCAACTTGGAACGATCTGCCTGCTCATTCACATCTCTGCTTTCCTTTGTGAGTGTGGATAGTTGGTTCTGCAGTGCCTGCTGACAGTAGAAATCCAGTTGTTAAAGGCAGCAAAAAGTAAAAATTTGACAGCTTTGAACAAGCAGTGGGTCAAAATTCAAAGTGGCAAAAGCATAGAGATTTTGCACATGACAGGTAGCTTTAGCGTCATAAAGTAATCTTGGAAAAAGTGGGAACTTTATTTTTTATAAAATAAAAAATTACAAAAGCAGTGTGAACATTATAGCCAACTTGTTCAGTTATTCCAGTAATGATTTACTGGTTAGTGACATGTCATGATCTTGCTTTGGGCTGCAAGGAGTTCAAAACTCGGCACACACACCCATGAGCATGCCTTCTTTGATAGAGAGCCACAGAGGCTCTTTTCAGGATATTCACAAATGCTCCTATGTTTGGAAAGATCTGCAGCTTCCTCATAAAACCCTGGGCATCAGCCTCATCCAGGGCCTATAATTTTACTCGTTTTAAAGTGTATTTGCGGCTGCCACCTCTCTCTCCCCGTTTGGAGACGGCCCACGCTTTGTCTATGGAGTGTGTACCTACTTTTAATCTGAACACCCAACCCCCACACCTCATGGCCTTTCTCTTGCCTTTCAGTGTATCTCTCTGAATAAATCTACCTTTACTCAAAAAAATAAAATTAAATTAAAATTTAAAAATAATAAAATGTATTTGTTTTTAACATCCTCAGATTTTAATAGCAACATAAATTCTTCAGAGTATAAGAAGCTAGTGTGTTATGGCTCCAAAACAATCATTCATTTATTCATTGTGTGTCCTTAAGGGACAGAGAAGAAATAATGAAAAAATGATTACAATGTCATGTGATAAGTGCTAAGATCATGTTACACACGAATGCTCAGAGTGTTAAAGACATAATGTCTATCTGTCTATTCTAATCCAGTCCTAAAATGGAGATGAGATTATCCTGGAGTATTACCTAGAGAAGGTAACTGGCGTTAAATAATATGAAAGAAAAGTGGTCTAGTCAAGAGAAGAGTATATGAAAAAGCATAGTACCAAGAAGATGTCATGTTACAGCCCTGCAGGTGGTGCACTGTCCTTGTTTTAAAGCCACTTCTCACTTTGTAAGATGAGAATGGGGTGGGGGGGTGTCGAAGATAGAAGATTCAGAGGAAACAAATAAACAAGCTACTAGGATGTGGGTTGACCTAGAACAGGAGGAGGTGGGGAGAAACCCATTTTTTGAGACTGGAAGAAAAGTTATAAAGGTGAGTATGAATGAAGATGGCTTTCGGGGAGCAGGACGGGATGTCAGGAGGATCCAGAGCACCACAGATGGTCCCTGACGACCTCAATGTTCTTACTTAAATGAAAGAGAGACAGAAAAGGACTTGAGTGGACAGGGGCTGAAGAGAGTGACCTAGATTTGGAGTAGTGACCATGAGAATGTGAGAAAAAACTGACCAAGGACCCCTCCCCTCCCCCAGAAGATCAGTGAGTGGTACTAGGGGCCCAGCCAAGGCCAAAGAGTATTAACTTACAACAGTGTGGAAATGAAGGAAGCGCAGTTTTAGTATCAATTCATAGTTGGAACGTACTGTGTTGAGATAAAATTTCAGGAATCAGAAAGATACTCATATGTATTTAAAATGATCAACCCTGAGGTCAAGCTTGTAGGGAAAGCGAGCTAATAGGCTGGAACAGTAGGAGGCAGAAGGCACTGGGTGGAGGGAAAAAATGCAGCCCCAGAAAGTGGAGTGAGTGCATGTAAGATTTCTGGGCAAGGAATTTCTAAGCCAGTTCCAAGGTGTGAGCAAGGGAGTTAGTGAGTGAAATACAGTGGTGAAGCATTCAATGTTGTTGCAATTTAGAGATCCAGGAATTTCAATGACAGATTATGTAGGTAACTATCACTGAAAGTAGTAACTATCTATCATGAAGTAGTAACTATCATGAATGATATTTTAAGATATTTGCAGCAGCTATAGCATGATATGAAATTGTCTTCTGTTGATAAAAAGTCAAAGACATCGTAAATACTACCGTTTGTTGCCTATATTTATGATGGAAGGAAATGCTAAATTTCAGTTTGACGTTAGTGAAAATAAAGGTGTAATTTTTTTCCTCCATCCAAGTTCACAGACCCTCTGCATGCTGTCATGATCCTCTGATTAAGAAACCCATTTAAAGGATAGTGTACCCAGAGGGCGTGAAGAAGTGGCAGCTGCACGTAGTCTAGAAGTGGGGTGCAGGGTTCAGAGAGCATCTTCACTCCTGTTGACGCTGTGGTGACTGGGAGCGAGGACCCTGGAGTTGGCGGGTGTGTGCCTCAGTGAGCAGGCTCGGCTCAGGAAGGCTGCTGGGAGTGGGACAGCATCCTCTGTGATAAAGAGGCATATTTCAGATCAAACCAAAAATGTCGAGGGAGAGATAGTTGTTGCTTTAGTGAAGTTGATGTTTATGAGAGCTCGAGACACACAGTGAAAATTCTTAGGGAAAGGAACAGTGAACGGATGAGAAGGCAAGAAAAAGGGCAGAGTGGTAGCGAAGGTGTACATTGGCCAGAATGAGGTGAACAAGCCTTGAAGTCCTGGACAGATACAAAGCTGAGGCCTGGAATGTTTGGGAGTGGGTTGAGGCAGGCCTTCTGACACCATCAGGGTCGTTGTGGCCCATGGCTTTTGCTCAGTTTCCATATAGAATCCTGCTGAGAAATTGTTGGACGCCCCTGAAGATCACTCAAGATAGAAAAACCTGAAGTCGAAATGAGGCACTTGATAGCAAAGCGTAAAATGTTGCAGGAGGACAGTAAGATGCCGGGCGGGGGGTGGGGGATTGGTATCTTACAGTAAATCATCAAATACTGTTCTTCTGACTTTGTCTTTTTTTTTTTTTTTACTGATGCCAAACATGCAAAACCATATGAGGGTTGGTGAGTAAAAATAAACTTTAAGAATTCTTTTTTTAAAGACCAGACTTGACATCCCACACCAAAGGAAGGATTTGGGAATATCCGCCAGAATAAGAAAATAACAAAATGAAACCAAGTAGCTGAGTATATATGTTCGGGGGGTTCATAAGACTAGATGAACTTTCAGTTTATATAATCTGATTTCCAGTCACTTGAAATGGATAGAAGAACCTGGTGTTTCTGACTGGGAAACTCAGTAACTTCTAGATATGAGTACTTCAACTTTAGATGTATGTGGTTATTAATCATTGGATTGATTCTGTTTGTTTGTGTCGGTTTTTTTCTAGGAATTAGCTCTCCGTAGCCAGTTGCCAACACTGGAGCAGGACGGTGGGACTCAAAATCCAGTATCTTCTCCTGGGATGTCTCAGGAATTGAGAACAATGACGACCAATAGCTCAGATCCCTTTCTTAACAGGTTGGTGAGGGCTGCTGCGGGCCAGCATCTGAAACAGATCATGGCTTTCAGATGATTCTCTCTGGTACTTGTAATAAGCGGTTTGAACGTCTGTGTGGGCCAAGACCCATAGCTGTAAATGAATCTCTCCATAAATGGCGAGGCTACAATAAAACGTGAGGACTAAAGGCTGCCTCCTGTGAGAGGAAGGGAGCTGTTCAGGCTTGTAGAGGGGACTCTGATTCAGAGTCATGTGTGTGCGGGCTGCCTGTGCTGTTGGCTGACAGTTCCGTACAGACTCGTGAAGGAACATGTGAATGCCTTTCTGTGGAAACAAATGAACTGCATCTCAAACCTACTTAGGGCCACATTGTAAAGATCAGTGGAAGGAATTTTCCACCCAAGTGTTCAACCTGAGAGGTTTCACCACTGCAGCACTGTAAGGCCTCATGTTCAAGGAGATAAAAAGCAAGGTGGTGCCTCTTTCAAAAAAATGCATTAATATTAAAGAGTATTTGAAATTAACATAGTATAGGAAATGCTTTTTAGTGAATTACCACAAATCTTGGGTCTCAGGCGTATTGCAAAGATGTTATTACACGTACGTAGTGCTATGTTTCAGAACTGCAAGCTGAGGCAGATCATATTCGTTGCCTAGAAAGCCATTTAAAATTAAGATTTGACTAAGTTCATTCTTCTAGGTGGTAAAATATTTATGGAGTTTCAGTTTTTAAAAACGTGGAACGAATGCTTTCTGGTCTTTGTGCTTTTGGGTCTTTTGTTGTTTTTTAACCACTTTTAAACAATGCACTTTTAAAAATATTTAGAGGTTTTCTGGTTTAGGAAGGCTGTTAATGCTATCCTTTCAGTTCTCACCAGTTGAACTGAAAGAACTTCATGATTCTAAGAAACACAAAATATCTTGTACCAAAATACTTAGCACAGTAGGGTTTCCCATCATTTGCTCTCTTAAGATTAGTGCTTATGCCCTCACTGGTAGGTTTGGTTTTGAGGGCCATCTAAAATCTATTTTAGGTTGTATATACTCTTCTGACACACACGGTTGAAAGTTCTGCACTGAGTGTATTTATATACGATTACAGTTCTGAGCGTAAACTGACGTTAATCAGCAAAGGTCTTAGCCACAGAACTATTTTTTCCACAAGGAAACTTTCAGATCAGTATAATTTCAGTGCCTCTCTTCCTGAAGGCTTGTACTGATCTGAGGACAAAATTAGGCCACTTAGAAAAACGCACCTCCTCCTGACAGTCATTTGTGCAGACTCTTTCTTAAAACTTTTGATGGGAACTGAGCTACAGTTTAAGACGCTATTTTCCGGTAAAATTCAGAATGGAGTATCACCCGTGTTATTCGTCTCAGGGCAGAATCCTATGTCCACTCTCAGTAGTAACCCCAGTTTCTAAAACGCACATCTGACTATAGCATTTTTCTGTTCAGAAATTCTTGATGGTTTTGCATTGCCTGTTAGTCCATCTATACATATTCCTTAAGCTGGAAACACTTGTTCCCCTCCCTTGCCGTGGAGTTGATTCTCAATGTGGAGCATCCGTTATCTCCCTTCTACTCCGAGATCCTTCAGGGACATCTCCCCTGTCCCCTGCATGGCCTCTCCCCGGTGCTTCACAAGCTTTCTCCTCTGTTCTGAAAGCACTCTGCCGCACAGCTGATGTATATGGCTCCTTAGAGTATTTCTTCACCCCGTCAGTTGTAGGGAGGTGGTGGTGGTTAACCTCTGTATCCTCAGAGCCTAGTCTAACGCCTGGCTCGTAGTAGCAGATGCCCAGTGAGTGTTTATTGACGGAGGGCGGGGGGCTGCAGGCAGTGGGGTTGTGCTGGGAGCAGCTTCTAATCAGGGAAATGGCCCTGTGAACTCTGTCCTTACGAATGCCTGTGTGCTTCCCCTGTGGCTTGGAAGGAACTCTGAGCAACTGTGTAAATTCAGCTCTTCCGTAACAGAGTCCTAAGTGTCTTGATGTGTTCCCCTCTTGCTTAGCAGTGGGAATAGACTGATAACTAGGCCCAGGCCCTTGTCCCAGATCAGGACAGGCAAAATAAAACAAACCACATCCTGAGACCTTCTCCAAAGTGGCTGCATTGTATACAAAAGGTCTCAGAGGCAAATTTGTGTTTTCTTGAATCTGTGTGAGGCTTTTGAATCTTGCCAGAATCTGGCAGAAGCGTCAGCGTAAACCAGCGGTTACAGTACGCAGAGTGAAGGGGAGGGAGAAGGCGGAGAAGGCATTGAGTAATTTGGGAAGGAAATTTGAGGGACTGAGCTTTCAATCTTGGGCAACTGTTAGAGCTGGTTTTTAAAGCTTAGTCACTTTCTTGCCTTTTTACTTTTGTGTAAGCTAGACAGCTGTTTAAATGTCGAAGCTGTGGGGAGAGTTAAAGCTCACAGTGTCGTCAGAGGCCAGTAGGAATGATAGTTGCATGTATTTCACACTTTGCTGTAAGATTTTCTAGGGTTAGTAGAACCCCAGCTTTAGTTGATGCCACCTGGTATCTGCATGCTGCTAGCTTAGGGACGTGCTCCGTTTATGAAAGTAATATTCTGAGGATATTTACCATACTTGTATGTAAATCTGGGAAGCTTTTATTTAGCCTGAAGTAAAAATCTGTCTTGGCGCATATTTTCCCGTTTTTCTCAGGGTATGTGCCTTTGTAGTTTTGGGGGTTTGTTTTTAATCTTTCTTTCAACTGGAACCCTCAGTTCTCCTGTCTTATGCTGAAGTGTTTGTTTAGAGTTTTCCCCCCTGAACAGAAGCAAAGGAGATCAGGCTATGAGTGTTCTTATCTTATCGGCAGTGACTCATCTGTTTTGGCCCAGTCCAAAACGGAATTCTGGTTCTTTATTTTGGGTTGATTTTCCTGGCTTAAACTCTCTGCTTGAGAGCTGGGAATTTAGCGTGAGTCTAGCACAGACCTGCCTGAGCACCCACCTGGGGGCTGTGTTTTGACCTGTGCCTGTGACTGCCACCGCGTGGGGAAGTGAGACCTTGAAACAGATGAGCCCCTAGATTCAAATGGTATTAGAGAGAGAAAACCTACACAGAGTTTTCTGTCAGCTGGGAAAAACTAAGTCTCTTCTTTTCCCCTTGCTGCCGCCAAGCCAGGACCCTAGGAGCAGTCTTGGCCCCCAGAGTTGCCAGGTTCAGTTCGGATGAGCTTGTCTATTTCAGGTCGGAGCACAGGGCCTTTGAACGGGCCCTGAAGGAAGGTGCTTGTTTCAGAGGCTGCAGGGCAGGAATTTGCACTAATCCTCTTTGCGAATCATGCTGGTACTCAGCAGGTGTTTATTTTTACTTTGAAATCTTTTTTTTTTTTAATTTTGTGTTGGTCTTTAACTCCGTCCTTTGCAGTGGCACCTATCACTCCCGAGACGAGAGCACAGACAGCGGACTCAGCATGAGCAGCTACAGTGTCCCTCGAACCCCGGATGACTTCTTGAACAGCGTTGATGAGATGGATACAGGTTGGTGTTCCTTACTCCTCGGGGAAATCGACCTCTCAGTCCGACGGAGTCGTTCCATTGCCAGGGCTAGTCAGCTGTCGTGAGCAAAGACGATTCAGAAGAAAACCAATCAACATCCTGTAAACGTCAGTTCAGATTGAGCCAGCTTTGTTTTTATATGGCCCTTTGAAATTTAAGTCTTTTCCCAGTTTTTAAATGTCATGGATATCTGGGCTATATCTGAACAAAACTAATGAGATGACTTATTTTAGCATTTAAAATATTGAGTTAATTGGCAGGGCAGTCGGGGACCCTTAAAGAAGCCTCTGTTATATAGATCCGTGTTCTTAATTTTGGAGCGAGATCTCTATATGTGATTCATCTGTCTCTTTCTACGTATGATTCGTTGTTTGTTTCTCTCTTTTTTGTGAGGGCCTTTGGTCCAATGTGGGCTCAGGAAACCAGGTGGGAAAGGCGAGGTGGTGGGGCTCACCCACTTTATTGTAGAATAAAGTTAGATATTAGAATGGTTAGGGGCGGGGGTCTTGCGGGAGCCGAGAAACACCTGCCTCACAGGGATAATTAAGGAACCCTTTCTCCTGTGGCTTACCTGGGACCCTGGAGTCACATGAATTGGGAGGGAAATGAAGCCGTTCTCCAGCTAGCTAGTTCCTGAGCTGACAGCTTCTGACAGTGTTGGCAAGTCTTCTGTGCCTGTGCTCAGCCAGCCTGGGGCTTTGCTGCCTCCTGGAATCCACACCCTCTTCTCCCCATCTAAACCTTAAGTCATCCGTAGGAGTCACTTCAAACCTGTCTCATTCATAACACCCTTCCTCACTCCTCTGACCCTCATCTCTCTCTTCTCTAAACCTTTATAACAATGGTTTATATTAGTTTTGCTGAAAGTGTGCTCCGTTGATGCGCTAAGGGATGTTGATGTTGTCGTGGACGAGAAAGTTTCCTCGGCCAGGTGAGTTCAGGAGACCCAGAAGCAAACTGGGAAGATGGATTTATCCAGGGACTTCTGGGAGACTTGTTTTGGCTGTTGTGAATGCGAGTCTCCCAAGAGTGGGGTAGCTTCATCCAGTTCTTTCGTTTTATTCTGTCCCCTAGTCTGTGCTCCTGAGAAAGATGGGTCTGTACCGTTTGTTCTTGTATTTTATCTTATCATGCTGTGCGTGTCTGGAAGAGAGGCAGGTAGCGATGCTCTTGTGTCGTACTTGTTCTTTCTCTCTCACTGTATACAGTTTTCCAGGGGATTTTTTTTTCATGACCCCCTTCAGTGCTCAGCACACAGTAATAAGCAGTTAAGCTCTTGGTTCAATATCTGAACAAATGTTGGAGCAAAAGTAAATAAATGTGTGTTGTTTTCTTGCTGTCTGTGGGTTGTTTAGCCTAAAATAAACCCTGGGTGTCAGCTGAGGGTCAGTCAGGAATGCACGTCTTTCCCTGTGCGTTTCTGCATCCTCGCATGACACAGCTCCGATGTTAGCTTTTCAAAAAGGACCTATTCTCTCTCTCTTCCTCTCTCTCCCTCTCCCTCCCTCTTTTCCAACTAGGTGACACTATCAACCAAAGCACCCTACCCTCACAGCAGAACCGGTTCCCAGACTATCTTGAAGCCATTCCTGGGACAAATGTGGACCTTGGAACACTGGAGGGGGATGGAATGAACATAGAAGGAGAGGAGTTGATGCCAAGTCTGCAAGAAGCTTTGAGCTCTGACATCCTTAATGACATGGAGTCTGTGTTGGCTGCCACCAAGCTAGATAAAGAAAGCTTTCTTACGTGGTTATAGAGCCCTCAGGTAGACTGAATTCTGAATCTGTGAAGGATCTAAGGAGATAAGACATATACCTGAAATTCCCAGACAAGCCGGTTGCAGCCTCCTGGCTCACACAGAGAGAGATGAACAAACGTCCAGCAAGACTTCTCACCCGCTGTTCTGCTCTTCCTTGTCCGTTGCTGCTGTTAATATATTGCTGACCTCTTTCATAGTTGGCTCTAAAGAATCAAAAAAAAAACTTTTTTTGTTTCTTTTGCTATTATAACTACTGTTTGTTTTGGGGGCTGGGGAAGTGAGCCTGTTTGGATGATGGATGCCATTCCTTTTGCCCAGTTAGACATTCACCGATCATTTAACTAAATACTCAGACTTGGAAGTCAAATGCTTCATGTCACAGCATTTAGTTTGTTCAAGCAATTGTTTCTTCAGCTGCCTTTGGCCGGTGGAAAAACACGATTTACTGGTCTGACAAAGCCAAAAATGTTGTATCTGATGTTAAGTACTTGCGCTGATTTGAAGAGAGAGCTGAAACCAAGGCTGGAGACTGTTTTGCTTTCAGTGGGCTTTTTCCCCTCCTAGTGCTACCGTCAGTCACCTAGTGACCTTGATCTTATTTTAGGAGCTTGTAAGGCTGAGACAACTTCCACAGAAATATATTAATTATTGCCACATACTCTAGGATAGGTTTTGGTGGGTTTTAGTGTGGGTTTGTTTTTGTTTTTGTTTTTCCCTTTTCCAGAGCCTAGGCAGGCTGCCATAGCAGTGAGCTTGTTCATAGTCGGAGCTTGGGACAGTTGTAGTTCCTTCGGTAAATCTGCATTTCCTGGTTTTTTACCATCTTATTTAAATCTTGATAATCTGCTCTCTCTATATATACCCACACACACACTTATAATGTTTATGATAGTGTGATAGCAGAATGTATTTTTAAGTTTTCCCTACTTCCCGATTTATTTTAAAATGGTAGCTTTGAATGTATGCATTTAGAACACACGGCTAGTGGTTGGTGTTTCACAGGTAGTTGAAATCTGGTCGGGGCAGCCTGCAGGTGCTTTGTGGTAGTTAGCGTTCTAGAAAGAACTGTCATTATGGAGAGTGCAAGAGGAGTCCTGTGTGCCCCTCTGGGCGCACAGCGGAAATTACCTGATGGATTTGAAAGAAGCAAACAAGAAATGGCTTTATCGTCCCCTGGCTAGTGCCTCGGACTGACTTTCAGTCTTGACGGGAAATCACTGAGTTAGCTTCATAACGGATATGACAGACGTAAGCTTTATTTAGTGGTTTGCCTTCCTTTAGCTTTGAAAGTTTACCTTCGCCTTAGTTTTGGAAATAAATTCTAGTACTTTAGTTCTCATTTGTAATGAACACTTTAAAGACTACATTGAAATATTTCCTACAAGATTGTTCTTACTTATAAGACTTGCTCCTACTTCTGTATGCTGAGAATTGACCCTGGATAGGAAATAGAATACTGTAAGGTTATGAGTTAGCTGGTAAGGTGATCGGATTAATGTATATTGGTAGTTGAATTTAGCAAAGAAATAGAGATAATCGTGATTATACTTTTATTTTTACTGGAAGAGATATAACTAGAGTATGTGTCTACAGGAGTAATAATGGTTTCCAAAGAGTATTTTTAAAGGAACAAAATGAGCATGAATCAACTCTTCAGTATAAGCTATGAAGTAATATTTGGTTGTGAATTATAGTGGCACCAGCTAGCACCTCTGTGATTAAGGGTCTTTCAATGTTTCTAGAATAAGCCCTTATTTTCAAGGGTTTATAACAGACATAAAATCTCTTTTCCTGTCTAAAACTGCTATTAAAAGCCTCAGCTTGGGAAGATAAATGTTTGGGTTTTTTCCTTCTTCTTTCTAAACTACAATATCTTAAGTATTTTGACCCTTAAATTTAGAGGAGTACAAAAGTTGGAAGTAAGAAGTTTTATATTAAATACTTTCAGTGCTCAAAATGCAATCACTATTGTATATAATGATTCATAGGTCGCTCATTCGTAATAATTGACTCTTAAGACTATTAAGAAAACAGCGGAAAGATTAAATCTTGAATTAAGTCTGGGGGGAAATGGCCACTGTATAGATGTATTGATTTTTTTTTTAAGAGCAGTAATGAAATTCTGCCTAGAATGCATAAATGAGCTTGTGGATGATACAGCATGTTGGTTTTTTATGTGCAGAAGATCAAAGCTACTTGGAAGGAGTGCCTACAATTTGCCATTAAGCCACAAATTAAGATCTTATGTATCAGCAGAGTAGCTTTAGATTAGGGGAGGGGGTGGGGATGTGGGAGGGGGTTGTGAAGACTTAGTGGGACCTTGCTAGAGAACTTTATAAGCTTCTTTTTCTTCAATAAAGACTTGTCTTGCATCTTGCTGTCATTAAAGGCAGTTGTTCCTAAAATTTCAATCACCTAAGTACACCCACAAAACAAAAATGCAGAGTTCCTCATTTCCCCTCAACTTCAGCGTGCCCAGTTGTACCTCGGTGTTGTAGCCGCGCCGTGGTGCCCGGCAGACACGGCGCTCTGGGCTCACGTGCCCTCCGTGCTGACCTGAAGGAGACCTTAAGAGTCCTTTCTCTTTCTGAGTTTGAATCACAGCCTTGATGTAGTCTTTCTTGTTTTATGTCCTTGTTCCTAATGTAAAGGTGTTTAACTGCTTCTTGGTTGTATTGGGTGGCATTGGGATAAGATTTTAACTGGGTATTCTTGAATTGCTTTTACAATAAACCAATTTTATAATCTTTAAATTCATCAGCTTTTTACATTTGTGTTCTTTCCAGTTAGGGCTTCTTAGATCTACTTATGGTTGATGGAACACATTGATTTGGAGTGTCAGGTTTTCCAGAGCACTATTTGTTGCAATAACGACTTTCTAAACATAGTGCCTTTGATAAAAAAGGAAAAAAAGAACGTAAGTGACTTTTATACAAGCAGTGTTGCTGTTTTAAGTGTTCATAGTAAACAGATGCATTCTATATGGAACCTTGGCAGAAACACTAAAAAGAAACTAATTCACTGTGTAATTCATAATTCTTACCAATCAGTGTTGAAACTCAAAACAGTGCAAAAGTGGGAGACAGTAGCCAGTGATTAACAGTTTCACAGCTTCTGCACATCTGAGAAATGAGTGCTCAGGTGAATTGCATCCTTCATAAGCACGTTTTTATAAGAATTGTGGGTGTGCCTATCTTAACAATTGTCTTCTGTATCTTGAAAAAGTATTCTCCACAGTTTAAATGTTTTATATTAGAGAATTCTTTAATGCACACTTGTCAAATATATATAGAGAGTACCAATGTTACCTTTTTATTTTTTGTTTTAGATGTAAGAGCATGCTTCTGTGTTAGGTACTTACATAAATTGTTACATTATTTGTTCTTATGTAATGCCTTTTCGTTTGTTTATATGGTTCAAATATATTCTTTCTTTAAACTCTTCTTTGTTGTTTTTAACGATTGACGTATTCGAAACTTTTTCGGATTCTTAATGGTTTTCCAGTAGAACAAGTACTAGTAATAAAAGGTGATTATAGTGGCAACTGGTAGACAGGGAACTGGTAGACAGATTAACCTTAAGGTCAGTTTGGCATTTGAGACTTGCATTACGGATACAGTTCTTTGAACTTTGTGTTCTGGAATCTTCCTACAGACCATCCCCGTCAATAATAGTGTGTAAGCAGAATCGTGTCTCCTTCATTCTTAAATGATTTTACTGTATGTAGCAGCACAGAAGAAACTGTTCTGTTTCTTTTAAAATAGCCCTTGGTTTTATTTCTCCAAAATATTCTCTCATGGTCTCCAAAATAGGATACTTACATTAGTGAAAATTATTAGTTACTGTTTTATAAATAAAAGCACTCACAAATTTAGGTGGTAGGTCCTGAATTTTGAAAAAAGAAGTAGATTTGGTTGTCTTTGAAAATGATATATTTCTGTGTTTGTGTAGATAGCATTTTCCGTTGTTGACGCACATCATTTTTGGTGAGGCATATCTGAAAACTATTGGGTGTGATTTCTTTATGATAGTAGAACACTATTTTTATGAAGCTTGAAATTTATTGTTTCCCTTGTGCAAAATGTAGTTGTTGTACATTTTAGCCCAAAGCCACACCTTGTGTCTGTGGACACCACACCGCTTACTAGGGAGCTGCTCCGAGAGGCGGTGCGCTTTATGTCAGGCGGTTTAAAGTCGTTCTGGATCCTGTGAGCCAGAATTTTACAACCTTTAGGTAATTGAGTTAGTCAGTCTGATTCGGTAGGATATTCAGAAGAATACATGAGTTGGGATTTGGGGAGAACAGCCTCTTGAGAGAACAAGGACTAGTAATACAAGGAGTGGTCAGCAGACCAGTGAATTAAGTTTTAACCCCCCTTGATTTCCATCTCGTCAGCTGAGCTTATAAGAGAAGAGAGCCCCAAGGCCCCATCACATTTTCTTACCTTCTGTTATGGCAACCAGACTGTCCTCAGTCCTGGCAACCATCAGTTATATTGAAAATCTGGCTTTTTTTTGGTATTTATGGGGGAAGTCGTGTCCTGCTCTCCCTTGGGCTCCAGGATTCCATGTGCACTGGTGCTTCTGGAATCAGCTGTTTCTGGCAGGTTGTCTCCACTTTCAACTGTTGACATTTAATTGCTTTATGTAAATAAGCATAAAAAACTTGGTAACAATCTTTTTCGATTAAAAATTTATTGAATTAGAATTCAGACGTGAATTCTGTGACGTCTAGTACTGTGGTTTTTCCAAATCAAACATGAGATATTTTTTGCCATATTATCCAGACTCAAAAAAGCTCTGATGTAAGTAAAATTGATACTTTTTTAACCGTAAACATAGCCTTAAGCTGGCAAACTTAATACTACTGCAAATGAAAACAGTTGCATCAAGACACGAGCAAAACAAGATGATACTGAAAAGATACTCTGAATGTTTAAATCTGCCGTATTTTAACTGAAAACGAAACTCCTGAACTTAGGTGACTTGACATCTAAGCTACTAGGACCCTGTTAGAAGTTAAAAAGAAAAGGGGGGGACCCTGTGTGCACTCTTCAAAACAGTATTTGGAGATACCTGAGTGGAGATTTACAGAGTCTACTTCTGTAAAATTTCTAAATGGCTAACCTCACACTTGGAATGTTTTATTTTTTAATTTTTTAAGTGAAACTATTAAATACTAGTGTTACTGTAACTTTCTGAAGGTGATAATGGTTTCTATGCAAAGTAAATGAATGAGCAGTGCTCGATTCTTAGTAAAGGAAACCTCTCTAAGAAACAACGAATGAACAAATCGCATCTAAATCAGGAAGATACCCTTGTTAGCATGACTTTCAAGACTGTTAACTTATTTCTTAGGGTTAGGACACGGCTTTCCCCACATTTCTTCATGTCTCAAGTATATTTTATGTTGAAACTATAGTTCCTGTGACCTTCACAGAACCCTGTATAAAGGGAAATGGTCTATGAGTTAAACATCGCCTTTTGGATATAATTTTTTTTCGTTGTAGGATATTGGAAGTCACATCTCAGTTCCATTTAGGCTGTTGTTAGTTACAAGGCAGGTTCTTGTGTGTGGTGAATTTACACAGGATTAAAATGGGGCTCTATCTGGCCAATTAAAAGAGAAATTCATGTTCTCAGAGCTGTGAATTAAGTGGCAGAATCTGAGGGAAAAGCACGGCTGCATTTCAGTGCCGTCCCCGTGGATGGCTGAAGCCAACACAGTGACGACTGGGCGAGGGAGCTGGGCTGACGCTCCCGTCTCCTTAAGTGAACCTTGTGGCAACTTGTGTTTAAGCACCTCTTTCTACCAGTCAAGAGCTGAGCATATCCGCAGCCAGGGTTCAACAGAGGCGTCTCATTGGCTCAGTGATGAGGATCTGAATGATGGTAAGAATATCGCAACCGTATGAGACTCCAGTCACTGGGGTGACCATGAATCAGGACCTTAGATTTTATGAAAGTTACAAAGACTCACTCATGAGCCACCAGACCGCTGAGTAGCTCAAAGTCACACTGCAAAGCTACACATGCAGTATCTTCCAAAGAAGGCCACTTGCTGAAATGTTTTCTCTGGACACCAGAAAGCATCTTGAGCTCTATAAAGTACTTCAACAAGACTGGCTGGAGCAGAACGTGGGCTTGAGATTTACTTGTCTTTTACCATCCAGCCTTGAGCCTCGTGAGCCCATATACTGTCCAGTCAGGAAACAGCGAATGCCTTGCGGGACGTGGGGTTCTTGGGCGGCTCAGAACTCCCCTTTAAGGGCACGGCGTTGGTCTGGGATGCAGTGGGCAGCTCTGGCCAAGTCTGGAATATTGTTTAGGAAATTGCAACGCTGAATGGAACTAAAAATTAACTGCTGACCAAATCCTTACCAGTCTCCCGAAGGCATGAAGGCAGACCTCTCCGGGGCGTTTCGTTGCTGTGCTCCACTAAATACGGCAGGTTTCCAAAGCTGAGTCTTCCCAGTGCAGTCGATGTCCCGCTGCCATCACTCAGCTGTGGGACTTGAAGGCTCGGAGACTTCCGATCAAGGGTAGAAGTGAAAATACTGTAATTTACACAATCTGACACCGATTAAGGGACCAGTTCAAAATGTTATAGAAATAACTGGTAAACTATTGACCTTCTTTAAAAGCAGAATAATTTTTCAGCATGACTATGATCTTCCTCAGTATCGTCTCGTTTAGAGACTCACTGCTGAGTGATTTAAAATGGCCCTTCAAACCTGAGTAGGTCTGCTCAGGGTAGTTGCCAGGGCTCTGTCGCTCACATTAGTGTGCACACCGAGTGACCAACCCTCCCCATTTTTATGTCACTGTGCTATTTGTTTTCAACAACAGTGAGTATTTTAATATTCTGTAATAATTATCAGAACACTTCCACACGTTACCTTCTTTGATCACGCCGAGTCCTGCAAGATGTAGGTGTTACTGCTCTTCCTGACCAAGTGCCTCGGATATAGATGAAGGGACTAGAAGCTGAGGGCAACGCCCATGACGGAAGCGTGCATGGACAGGCTAACGAGGGGCCCCTCCCTGTCCCTGACCCCACCGCAGGTGGGGCTGTCCCCTCCACACAGGGCTAGGCCTGGAAAGACCGCCATAGCACTGACGGTGCTCTCACGGGATATTAAGTCTTCTGTCCGTTTAGACGAGCCATGTGTTCATTGATTCAAGAAACACACTGGCGGGTAGTGTTCCAGTCTTGAGTAATAAATGGTTTGGTAACTTCCTCAAGTTGCTTACAAAACAGAAGACTGTCCTGTACTGAAGAGCAGTGCACCCCACGTACCGCGAGCGCATAGTCTAGGGGAAGATGCCTTCTCCTGGGAGGGTTAGGAGAGGCCTCATGCTGGTGGTTTTTAAGCTGAGCTTTGAGGGGTTACAAGCAGGGACAAGAGCACAAAGCAGGAAGACTAAGGCTGCGTGGCCATGGGGAGCATCTCATTCGGCTGGGCTGTAAACGTGCGGTTCATTGGCCCACGTGCCAGGCGCTATTCCAGGCCCCGGGGGACACAGCAGTGAACCAAGCGGACACAAAGCCCCGCCCTCAGGGCATTCACTGCGCGCTCGATGCGCTCGACGGGCCAGGACTGATGATAATAGTTACTGTGTGTTGAGGGCTCCCTGGAGGCCGAGCGCTTCCCACGTGTTAATTCATTTATCCTGGCAACAACTCAGCGAGGTAGGTACTGCCCTGGTTTTGCAGATAAGAAAACTGGCCTCGAGGTCACGCACCTCTGAGGAGTGGATCTGGGCAGCCTGGCTCCAAAACCTGACCTCTTACCGCCGCGTGCTGCCTGGGGCTCGAACGCCAGGGTGAAAAACTTGAGTATCCAGTGAGCAGAGGAGGCCTTTGAAGGTCTTTTAAACAAGAGGACAGTATTATCAAAAATTAACAAACACACTAGCCAATCAAAAGTTAAGGAAGTTATGATTGAACATACCCAAAGGGTAACAAAATGGGCTGGATACACGAGGGGAAGAAGGAGGGCCATCCGCATGTACACTCCCGGAGGTTAACAGTGAACCTGGAGTTCCCTGGATTCGCTGTCATACTTGCACGGGTTACACTTTTTCTCCCTGGCCTGTGAGGGCAGGAGGGGAGGTCATTTCAAAAGCAACTGGATTACTTTCCCGAATGGTATAATCAGACTTGTCTGCTCAGGCGGGGGAGAACTGTGGATGGTTATAATTATATTTTATCATACAGAGATAAAAGCTAGGAAAGCTGGTGTCTGAGCAGATTCCTAACTTGTGAAATTTACCTCAGGCAAAGAAACACTATGGAAAATCTAAGCTCATGAGGCCACCAAGAGCAGCGACTCACAGGCTAAAGACCCCACTTGGGAAGGGGTCATTGAACAGAAATGGACCAACTAAAAGTCCTGGAGAAAACCGAAGTCCCAGACCGACCCTCAGCAAGAGTCAGTAG